CTATAAGAAATGATGAGCAGGATTATTTCAGAAAAACCTGGAAAGACTTATATGAACCAATGCACAGAACCAGGAGAATACTATAGCCAGTAACAGCAATATGGTTCAATGAAGAATTGTGGATGACTTAGCAATCTCAACTATACAATGATCCAAGACAATCCCATGATGAAGCACAGAGGAAGAGCTGACATTGCTTGAATACAGACTGAAGCAGGCTATTTGTCACTTTTTTCTTTCATTTTTTTCCTTTATTTGAGTCTTTTTGTACAAAATGACTAATATGGAAATGTTTTATATAACTGCAAAAAAAAAAAGTGCTTACTGACCAACTGGAAAGGAGTAGTTTTTGTTGGGATCCCTTCCTTATAATTTCATAACGTGAAAAACCCTTCAAACTTGTAACAGCAGACACCTTCCACCCCAACACTTCCCACAAACTGCTAGAATTAGGTTGGACCTTAGACGCCATCTTGTGCCATCCCCTCATTGCACAGATGAGGAAACTGAGACCCAGAGAGGGGAGGTAAGACCTGCCTTGGGCCCCTAGGACTAGAACCCTGGTTCCTCAGTCCTTCCCCCTCTATGTCAATCCTCATTCAGTCCACATCCCCGGGAGTGGGACATGTCTTCCAGTCTCTTGTCCCACCCCAAGCTTTGGGTTCAAGACCACTTTGGCTAAGCCATGACAAGGGGCCTCCAGTGGGCATTGAAGCCTCAGACATAGGGTGGGAATCTTGGGGCCCACAACAGGGCCCATCCACACCTCTGAGCATCTCTCCCACCATGTCTACTGTGGCTCCCCATTAGTGACCCCCAGGGATACTAGAGACACAAGAGAGTTGTTAAATGAATCCACAGAACTGGAAGACACAGGACGCTGGCGGGAGGCAGGACCTTTGGTCTACACCGAAATGTCAGTGTTTTAGACTCTTACTCATTCTGAGATCTGGGTCCATGGCCCCTGTCTCAGAGGGCAACCTGGAGGGGTGGACAGGAAGCTTAAATGACCTGAGCTCACTTCCTGGACCAGAGTAGACTCAGATCAGTCTTCAAAGGGAGGTCCCATGGACTGCAGCTAACTGGCGCAGTAGATAGAGCTCTGGATTCAGAGTCAGGAAAGAGAAGAGTTCAAGGCAGGATGCCTGAGACACTAGCTGTGGGATCCTGGTCAAGTCATATACCCCCTCAGTTTGTCCATCTGTAAATGGGGATAACAATCCTCTAATAAGCCCCCACCTCCCTAGGCTGTTGTGAGGAGAAATGAGATCACATGGGTAAAGCACTTTGTGAGGTTAAGGTTAAGGTTCTCTACCAATATCAGCAATCATGATTATCTCTGCTCAGCCTGACTGTAGGGGCAGAACCTGTGAAAAGAATCCTGCCCCACCTCCTCCAACCTGGCCTCCAAAGTGGTACTGTCCCGAGCCCCTGCCCAGGCCACTCAGCGGCCATCTTCTGGCAATGACTTCTTCCCACAGCCCCACCTGTGCCAGGTGATTCCATCCAGAGCTTGGACACTGAATTTGGTACATGGTCAAAGTGAGAAGGAGGCCATTTCCTCATCAGGCCAGGGCTGAGATGGAGGAGCAAGGGGACAGCCTAACATGGTCACAGGGGAGAGAGGCAGGCACAAGTGGATAGCACTGAATTTCAAAGAACCCAAGTGTGGCTAGATGCCTTACCCCAAATTTCCTCAGGGGCCACTCCAAAGGCTCAAAGCACTGTTTGGCTTGCTTTCTTTCTTTTTTTCTTTCTTTCTTTCTTTCTTTTTTTCTTTCTTTCTTTCTTTCTTTCTTTCTTTCTTTCTTTCTTTCTTTGTCTCTTTCTCTCTCTCTCTCTCTCTCTCTCTCTCTCTCTCTCTCTCTCTCTCTCTCTTCCTTCCTTCCTTCCTTCTCTCCTTTCCTCCTTGTTTTTAATGCCACAGTTATATACAGATGTGGACCTACCCTAACAAGCTTTCCATGGTGACAAAGAAAAAAATAATTCAGCAAAACCAAGAGACTACCGTGTGACAGAGTACGCAACATTCCACATCCACAGTCCCCCGCCTCCCCAACGAAAGGAATAATGGGCACTTCCTGTCTCTTCTCACAGGAGACTTGTTACTCTGACTCCACAGTGAGCTAGTTCATGGGATTGATCTTCTGTTCTCATGGTTCCATCACTGTGCCTAGTTTTTTTCACTTCATACATATCTTCCCACAACAAATAATCCATTTTTACTAATGGTCTGGGAGCCGAGGACCAGCCACAGGGGCATGTGCGTGCTCACAAGTGACATGTGAGCAAGGAGGGCCCTTTCAAACAGCGTCTAGCCCCATCTGTGCCTATGAAACAAGCACAGAGGAACAAGGCCAGGGGAAAATCAGCTCCTCAAAGCAAGAGGGTAGGCTTCACTCTCTTGAGGTCATCTCATGCACAGGTAAGAGCCCTGGGCTCAAATTTCTGTTGTTAACTCCCTGGGTCACCTTGAAGAAGTCACTTGACTACCTTTGTGCCTCAGTTTCCTCATCTGTATCATGAGAGGGCACAACCAGAGAATTTCTAAGGGTCCCTCCAACTCTCTAATCAGTGATACTCAGGACAGTTTCAGAGATCACTTTATCGAGGGTATCATGTTCACCAGGAAAGGCCATGTTACCTTGAATCCCAGACTTAGGGGACCCCAGAGCCCTCCTGGTCCAATTCAGACCTGAATCAGAAGCCCTGCTATAGCCTCCCAAGTCAGGGGCCATTGATGCTCCACTTGGGCACTTCCAGTACGGAGAAGCTACTCCTTCCATAGGTAGCCCCTTTTTTGTTGGGACAGCTCTGATGGTCAGGACAGCTTCCCTAATATGAGCTGAGATCGGCCTTTTGGCCATTTCTACTCATCGCTCTTACTTCTGTGCTCTGAGGTAGAGAGATCTAACCCCATCTCTCCTACATGGGGGCCAGAGAACATAGATCAGCCTCCTCTCCATTCTTCTACCCATTTTGGAGTCTTTTCCAAGCTAAACATCCTCAATTCCTTTTCCCAATTCTCCCTCAGCATGAATAAACTCAAGGCCTAAACCATTCCGGCCTCCCTCCTCTGGTCAATCTCCAGCTGTTCCGTTTCCTTCCTCAAGTGTGGTGAGCTTGACCTGAGCTCCATGCCTAATCTGACCAGGCTACAAAGACCTCTCCAGGTTTTTCTGCTGTCCTCTCACCTTGGTGACTCAGCCTGAAGTCCATCAAAACCCCCAGGGCTCCACTGGAGGTCTAGCCATTGAGCCCCCACCTTCATTTCTTGAATCCAAATGTAAAACTTCATTTCTCCCTGTTAAAGGACATTGTTTTAGATTCAGTCTATTGATCTATCTGTTGGACTCCTAAAGGATTCTGCTTATCCAAGTTACTCACCAGACTGCCTGGCTTGGTACTGTCCAATGTGACCAGCACTCCAACTATGGCTACATCCAAGACACTGCAAAAGTGCTGAACAGAGCAAGGCCAAGGGCTGATCTCTAAGGAGGACCACTAGAGACTTCCTTTCGTGATGCCAACACACCATTGGCTCCAATCCTTGAACTAGTTCTGAATGCCCCTGATAGAGCTATCATGCAGCTGACCAGAAGTCTCTCTCTTAGCCTTTCCAACAATCATATACCCAGTGACACTGTCAGGTGACCTTCTGAAACCCTTAGTACATGACCAGGCCTGAAAAGAAATAAGGCTGGATGCAAAGGAAGTCAGATGGTGGATTTCAAAGAAATGGCCTCTGCTCAGCTGATTTTTTCGCTCACCTTTCTTGCTCTTCAGGGAGCAAGTCGACAGATGAGGGGACAGCCTGAGAACCCTGCCCAGGTTCTCTGATTTGAGTGCTGGGCAAGCACTGGCTGAAGACAGCTGACCACCTGGAGCCCACCCCCACCCCCACCCCCCATTTCCCAGCCAGAACTCTGTTTGCCTGATGGCTTCTGAAATGCATTCACAAGGCTGGTCTCTTGGGCTAGCTTTGAGAGCAGAAGCTCCTTCTGAGGCTCTACTTCTGTTGTGCAAATGGCCCAAGGCTAGGGATGGGAAGAAGAAAGACAGAGGGAACCCTGAGGCACTCAAACCTAGACTATCAAGGAAATGGGCCCTGTTCTCATGATGGCATCAGTGACTTGGGACCAAGGAGGAATGTCTGGTGGCTGAAGACAAGCTCAGCGAGGGAATCTCCATCATTTTCTGGAAGAAACCAGCCAAGACAGGGAGAGGAGGCTTTTCCCACCAGGATTCCAAGCAGGAATTCTGAGGGCACCCTCCTGGCTGCACTTGTGATGAATCCCCCAAAACGGACTGTGGATTTATTCTCACACCTTTTCGGTCCTCTCCCCCAACTCTGAGTCATGAGCCCCTGGAGGTGGGGGAAGGGCCTAGCCCCGGGATCGTCCCTAGACTTCTGGTTAACACCTTCAGGGTACACTCCCTGAAAGTGGGGAAGGATGATGGAGCTAATAGCACAGAACTGGGAGCAAGGCTGGAAGCAGCCGGGGGTCAGGAGCTAAGCTAAGAGCGCCTTCCTCCCACCTTACCCAAGGCCAGGCTCTCTGTTTTTGTTTGTTTGTTTGTTTGTTTTTGACATTCAAGAGGAAAAGTATTCCCACATCTTCACGGAGAGTGAGTGTACAAAGCAGCTGGCCCGGCCCTGCCCTACCGAGGGCGTGGCAAGGGTGGGGGCTTGCGTAGCAGCATCCCCTGGCCTCCACGGACAGCTCAGCTCTCAGGGATCTGGCTCAGTGGGAGGTGTCCCCCTCCCTCAGGGCCTGGCAATAAGGGATTGTTTGGGAAGGGCTCGCGGGGACTTCCCTGGCCTGCTCACTCGTCCCGGGGGCCGGGGGGAGGGGAGGCGGTAAAGGGGGTTGCCCCCCATCCCCCATTCCCGGGTTCTGTCTTTGCGCCGGTCCTCCAGTCTGGCTGCCCCTGGACCCAGAGGAGTCGCGTCACAGTCACTGTCATGGTCTCGGTCAAGGGCGCGGGGGGCTGGTTACCTGGCGCTGCAGCAGCTGAGGCTAAGGACCCGGGCCTCTGCGATGAGCTCAGGCAGCGACGGCTGCGGCGGTGATGGCAGGAGGGAGGAGAGAGGATGGAGGAGGTAGGAGGGAGGAGCCGGAGCCCGCAAGCTGCGGCCACAGTCCTGCTCGGTCCACCCTCGGCCTCTGCGCAGCAGCTCCGCAACAGTGGATTGACGGACAGACTGATGGCCGGCTGGCGGCGGCCGTGCTGCTGTGTCACGGCTGGGCACCCTCCACCCCCATCACCTCCGGCTCCTCCCCGCCCCTGAGCTCCTCCCCAAGCCTCCAGATCGTCCCCTCCCCCATCCCGACACTAACCCTAACCCTGATCCTGACCCTGAGCAGGGCGACTTCGGGCCGCACAGGACCCGAGGGGCTATCCAGTGAGTGTAAACACCTCCCCCGTTTTATAGAGGAGGAAACTGAGGCTCATGTAGGTGAAAGGACTTGGCCAGGGTTAGCAAAGGCACTCGAACCCACAGCCCCCCGACTCTAAGTCTCTGCAGGACCCTGCCTCAATTGGCTCTTGGAGCAGCCTCTCCCCAGTCCTCCGGGAATAGGAGGTCATCCTGCCCTTCAGCAGGAGGACCAGAGCATCCCTCCTCCTCCTCCAAGCCCCACCCCCTCTGCCTCTGTCTTTGTGGCTGTCTCTGGCTGTCTCTCTCCCATGCACACAGACACCACACACCACACATACACTACACACATTGCACGTCCTCACATTCACAGATTGTCACGATCGCTCCTTCTCTCAGGTCATATTTAGACCTGTCCCATGTATAAATTCCCACAGCCTACATCTCTGGGTGACTGTTAATTTCCTTCTTTCTTGCTTTTGTCTCTTGACATGTGTGTGTGTGTGTGTGTGTGTGTGTGTGTGTGTGTGTGTGTGTGTGTGGTGAGCACTCAATCAATAGTTGTTTCCTAACTGGCTGACTTTAATTATGGCCCCCGGGCCCTCCACCAGCTTGCTGCAACCCTCTGGCTTAAAGACCAAAGCAAGAGCAGGGCCTGGCTGCTGTGCAGATTTCAATCAACAAAAATCTATTTCTCTCTCACCCCCACCCTTAATGGGGGGGGGGGGACCTTTGTAACAAATGGCATAGTCAAGTAAAACTAATTATCATGTTGGCTATGTTTAAAAAAAAATGTCATGCTCTGCACCCTGAGTCATGGCCATTCTTAGAACACTGCTTTTAAATGCATAAAATAAAATACACAGAATTATAAAGGAAATCAATTGTATTGAAATAGATTTATCAAGAATATTTTTTTTAAAAGTTCACAAACCCCAAAGAGTCACTGGGGAAGAGGGGAGGAGAGGGGAGAGGAGCTGAGAGGTGCCTGCCTTCTTCCCTCCACTACAGGGAAAACCCCAAATACAAATATAAAGTAATAAGGAGGCACCAAACCAAATCAGAGAACTGTGAAGAAGTCAGCAGAAAGGCTATCAGGAAGTCAGAAGCTCAGAAGAAGGCCTGGCTTGCCAAATATTCTAAAGACAAAATTTCCCAGATCTACTGCTCGCTCCTTCCTCCCTTGTGTGACCTTAGACAAGTGGTCTCACCTCCCTGCATCTCAGTGTTTTCAAATGTAAAAAGAAACTGTTGCTCTCCATGACCTACAGGTTCCTTCCAGCTCTAAACTATGGTCTGATGAAAGGCAGGAATATGGGCCTGCATGTCAGAAGATCAGAACTGAGCTTATCAGCTTAACTTTTGTGCTTGGGAATATTTATTTTTGTGGTCAGATCTAGAAGATTTGGGGGCTGAAGGAAGAGATGGTACTTCAGGCCTACAACCTTTATGGTTTGTTAGAACATGGTCCCAAAGTGATTTGAGCAGGATGCAGGCTAACAATTAAGAACTGTTTAGAGTTAATGGGGACTTTCTAATCCTAAATCAGAGAAAGGGTTGGAACAGAGGTGGTGGCCCTGCCAGCAGAAAGAAGTGAGTTAAAAGAATACACAATCCTAAGCATCGGCCACACTGCCTGGCTTTTGTTGGCTGAGTGTGGTGGCTTATGAATCATGATTAAAGATAGACTACCTGCCCTTATCAGAGAGAGACTTCCTAAGCCCTGGAATTCCCCTCTCAGACACAGGCCAAAATGGCCTTCAGCACTGAAACAAGGAAGCTGAGAAGGTAACAGGAGAGAGAAATTTGGCAACCCATCAAGCCAGCAGGAAGCAACACTCAGGAGGGAGCAGGCCCAGCTGAGAGGACCATGGTCACATCAGAAGGTGATATCAGTGACCCTGCATCACTAAAGGTGAGTCACCACATGTGTATCCTGGCTACACATGTTCCATACATTCATGACTCCACGTGGCATATCTATGCAGATTCACTCTGCCCACTGGTAGTGTGTATGATTGTAGAGAATGTGCCTCAGGTTTGGAAGGGAATGTCTTAAGATGCTATTTTATTAATGTTCTTAATATGTTATAATATGGTAATTGTGGCTTCTGGCTGAATCTTAAAAGGAAGCTAGGTGCTAATCAGTGTAAATTTAAATTCGCATGATTTGAAGTTGTAATTATGTAAAAAATAGTCATTGGTTCCAACCCAACGGCAATATGGAGTGCAAATTCAAATAACACCACCACTTCAAGGTATTTGTTATACTCTGCCCTGAGATTTAGTATGTAAACATCAAGAATCTTGTGAACTTTGTTTCTGTGTGACTGTGGACTTACAGTGTACCTTAAGCCTGGGGTAGTTGTTCTGGGGGACCCACATGCCAGACAGAACACCCCCGGCAGAAGGCAGGTGAAGATGACTAAGTGACTTACCTCTCCAGAAGAAACACTGAGGGGAGTGAAATGGAGTCAGTGATGAAGACTAAAGGATTGGCATATAGCAGTGAGGGCCAGGTGGAGATTACATAACATGAATGTGTAGTGGACCGCAAGATCCACCCAGCAGTGGGGCTTTCTTCCACTCAGCAGCAGAGGTGTGGGAGCAGAAAAGGTGAACGGAAGGGCTGGCGCTGGGTCTAAGAGTAAGCAAAAGGAGAAGGTATTTAAGAGTAAAGGACAGTGGAGAGTTGACCCAGTCAAGGGTCAAGACTCTGAGGGGAGGCCAGAGCTAGGGCAGAATAGAACAGGGAGTGCCGGGGTGGGGATGGGGGGATGCATTTCAGTGAGGTGAGGGTGAAGAATGGGAGAGATAGAAGATGGCCATTATCAGAAGGAGGAAATGTCACTCTGTTCAAGAGCATGAAGGTGATGCAGCGATAGGTCATACTGAGATCTCAGAGACAGCTCCACCTAGGGGGGATGGCTGGAGTTGTCATGGAGGAAGGTACAGGTCACGGGTGTTGAGATAGTTGTGGACTAAGAAACAAAGTAGTTGACAAGGTCAATTGTGGTCCGTTCTAGGCACCACGGTATAGGAGGGAAGTGGCTGAGAGAGAGAATGCCCAGAGGGCAGTGAGGGCCCAGAGACTCTGTCCTTCAAAGATTGGTTGAAGAAACTGGGCATGTTTAGAATGGAGAAGAAAAAACTTAGAAGGCAGGTGGGGAGATGTTTTTGGAGGGCTGTCACTTGGGAGAAGGTCAGATTTCTTTGATTCAGATGAGAAGACAGAGCTAGGAACAGTACTCAAAGTTGCAAAGGGGAAGACTGAGGCTTGATTTGAGGAAGACCTTCCTAACAATGAGTACTGTCCGAAAGTGGAACGGGCCACCACAGAAGAAAGTGGGGAACTCACTCTCGTTGGGATCACGATGAGCAGATGGACAAATGTATGAAGGAACAAACAAACCATTTATTAAGCCTACTATTTGCCAGACTGGCTGAACACAGATTATGCCAGGGCAGAACTGAGACAGATCCTGCCCTCAGGGACCTTACATTCCAATGTATTCCAACCATATAGGGGAGTGGTGGCCTGGAAAGGGAGCTTGGTTCTAGGCAATCCAACAGCTGACTGACTCACCCTTTCTAGAAGCTAGGGTTCTATTGATTACACTATCATGCTCAGGGCAGGAGGTAGAGGTGGGGGAAAGCCTCTGACTCTGGTAAGCAGAAAAGCAGAGCTCAGTTTGGTGGATTCTCTGATGGGGATTCTCTGATGGGCCCTGCTGGGTCTGGCAGCAACTATGCACTTGTAATCTATTCCGAGCCTTTTTTATAATTAAATTTTAGCTTTCAGTTTTCAAACATTTATTCCCACTCTTCCACTGGAAAAGAAAAGAACAAAACCCTTGTAACAAATATGCATAATCCAACTGGGAAATAAGAAATACAGGAAATGGGGTACAGAAGTCTATCCTGGTCTACAGGAAAATAGAAGGGGAAGGGGATAAGAGAAAGGAGGGGGGAGAGATAGAAGAGAAGGCAGACCAGGGGAAGGGGTATTCAGAATGCATGTCATTTTGGGGCAGGGGGAGGGATGAGAAATTTGGAACTCAAAAACTTGTGGAAGTGAATATTGAAAACTAAAAATAAATAAATTTATATTAAAAAAAAACAAATATGCATAATCCATCTCTGAGTCCAAAAATCTGTCTCATTCTGCATGTTCATCTGCCCCCTCTCAGTGAGTCTGTGCTTCATCATAGACCCTCTGGACTGTTGGTTGGTCATTAGGGAAGGAGAAGGGAAGGGAAGTGTATGGCAAGCACCTACAAATATTACCTTGCTTGATCATTACACTGATAAGAGTGCCTGAAACAGTTTGTCTTTACAGTATGCCATGGCGTAAATTGTTCTCCTGGCTCCACACACCTCAGTCTACATCAGCTCATAAAAGGCTTCTCAGCTTTCTACAATGCAATAGTACTCCATCACATTCATTACCATAACTTATGCTACCATGCCCCAGTTGATGGACATCTCCTCAGTTTCCAGTTCTTTGCCACCTCAAAAAGAGTTGCTATCCATATTTTTGTCTGTGTGGTTCATTTTTCCTCTTTCTTTGATCTCTTTGGGGGCACAGGTCCAGTAGTGTTATCATTGGGTGAAATTGTGTACGATTTTGTGATTTGGGGGCAGAGTTCCAAATCACTTCCCAGAAAAACAGTGTCAATTCACCATTCCATCAACAATGCGTCAACCTGTCTGTTTATCTATGGCCCCTCTGGCATTTGTCATTTTGTTTTTGTTTTTAATCAGTTTGGTAATCAAATGAGGGCAAAGTAGAATCTCAAAGTTGCTTTAATTAGCATTTCTCTAATTCTTAGTTATTTGAAGCATTTTTTGTGTGGCAGTTGATAACTTGAATTTCTTCCTCTGAGAACTGCCTT